CAGGGAGCCACTGTTCTTTCCAAATGGCATGGGGAGGGAGGATCAGTGAGGCAAAAGAGGACAACGATGTCCCAGAACAGAAGGTGGAAGTGGGGAGCTTGCCCACTCTCTGGTTCCCAGAGAGACCCAGAACTCAAAAGACACGCAAGACTGTTTTGCTGCATTTCGGAGCCATATGCAAAGGTGCCACAAATCATGACAGGCTCGGGTTGGGGCCTCTGAGAACAGATGTTTACAAAGGAACAGCTTAGTGCCCCCGCCCGGATCTTAGCCCCGTAGCGTCCACTATGTTGGTACTCAGCTCTGCATCCCTGGCCCATCTTCCCAGACAGCACAGCTGGAACCCACCACACAGAGATCAGAACAGCCACAGGGCGCTCCAGAGCTGGGGCGGCCTGACTCTTGCTTGTCAAGGGGAATTGAGAGCAAAAGGCGTAGCACACGTAAGCACACATATACACACAGACCGGTCCTGCGAGCCTGCCCACGTGGGCCTCCTGCCCTAGTCTCCAGGCCCAGGGGCTCCACTTTCCACTTGCAGCTCTCTTCTCTACACCGTCCCCCGGGCCTCACTGATCAATTCCGCATCTCCCTGGCGCGTCCCCTTAAGTCCGAGCTCCGGGGTCCCCAACCCTGTCCCAGCAAAAGGGCCTGGGTCTGGGGTGCGGGGAAGCCACCGAGCCCAGTCGTGCAGTGCTCCCAGGCCGGCCGGGGTCGGTACCCTCTGATGGTGAGCCTCTGGCCTCCTGAGCTGGCAGAGGGCAGAGCAGGGAAGGAGAGGTGGCTCGCGAGCTGAGGCAGCTGAGCGCTGTCCCTTTGTCCAGTGGTCACAGCCTGGAGCGAGGAGAGAAGGAAGAGATGGAGAGAGGTCACACAGATATGACAATGGCATCTTTCGTGAATTAGCACCCCCTCGGAGGGCCAGGGGGTTTGAGATGAGCTGTTTCTGTCCTCTACAAGAAAAGGTGGAGGCGACTTTTATTTACTGAGGTCCTACTATGTGCAGGGCTCTGTGCCACATGCTGCACATATCTGATCTCATTTAAGCCTGAGAATAGCCTGCAAGATAAGCACCCTTTTTACAGATGAGACAACAGAGGTTCAGAGAGGTTACGTATTTTGCCTAAGGGTGCACAGCCAGGAAGCAGCAAGGTCAGGATTTGAACTAGAACTCTTCCCCCGGGAGCATGCAGCTTCTGGACCAGGGATGGTCACCAACGTGTGGGCTGGGCTGAGACCATGTGGTGCTGGAACACCAGCCTGTGTCCCATGTGGAGTTGCTAATAATGCTCAGTAAGGAAGAGGGGGTGAGACCAGGATCCATACTGCAGACTCCTGCTATGAGGAGAGGCTTTGCTGACTACCGTTGAGCTAGGATCTGGGCAATCAGGGGCAAAAATTTGTGCCTACTCCCTCAAGATGGCTCTGGAAAGAGACCCAGCAGGCACACAGATAATCTGTGCCTAGAAGGCAGCAGAGTGGAGGGGTCAAGATCATGGATTTAGGGTGCAGACCAACCTGGGTTCCAATACTTGCTCTGCTCCTAACTAGCTGTGTGACCTTTGGGAAGGCACTTAACCTCTCTGTGCCTTGGTTTTCTCATAAGTAAAACAGAGACAGTAATAGCACCTACCTCCTAGGGGGGCTCTGAGGATTCAGGGAGATAATGCAGATGGAATGCTTGACACAGCACCTGTCACACATGTGTTTAATAAGTGGTACCCACATGATGGAGATTGTGCTGGTTGTCATGGTGACAATCTAGCCCAGTGTTGTACAACAGACACACAATGCAACCCAAAAGAATTGGAAGCAGGGATTTGAACAGTTGCTTACACGTCAATGCTCATTGCAGCATTATTCACAACAGCCAAAATGTGCAAACAAACCAAACGTCCATCAAGAGATGAATGGACAAACAGAATGTGGTATATCCATGTGATGGAATATTACTCAGCCATACAAAGGAATGATGTTCTAATACATGCTACAATGTGGATGAACCTTGAAAACATGATGCTAAGTAAAGGAAGACAGACACAAAAGGACAAATATTATGTGCTTCCACTTATATGATGCATCTAGAATAGGCAGATTCATAGAGACAGAATGTAATAGAGGTTACTAGGGGCTGGGGAGTGGGGAATGGAGAATTGTCGTTTAACGGGTAGAGAGTTTCTGTCTGGGGTAACAAAAAAGTTCTGGAAATAGTAGTGATGATTGTACAACATTGGAAATGTGATTAATGTCACTGGATTGTACATTTAAAAATGGCCAAAATGGCAAACTTTATGTTATATATATTCTACCACAATTAAAAAAATAATAATGTAATATACCCAAACCCACTGAGTTTTACATTTAAATGGGAGAAATATATCATATGTGACCTGTATCTCAACAAAGCTGTTTAAAAGAAAAAGAAATAAGGGGTCAGCCCCGTGGTGTAGTGGTTAAGACCATGCACTCCACTTTGGATGCACTCCAAGCCCGGATTCGTGGGCTTGGATCCTGGGCACGGACCTACACCACTCATCGGCAGCCGTGCTGTGGCGGAGACCCACATACAAAATAGAGGAAGACTGGCACGGATGTTAGCTCAGGGACAATCTTCCTCAAGCAAAAAAAGAGGAAGATTGGCAGTGGATGTTAACTCAGGACAAATCTTCCTCAGCAAAAAAAAAAAAAAAAAAAAGAAATACCACACAAGTCATGTATGTCCTTGTAAATTTTCTAGTAGTCATATTTTAAAAAGTAAAAGGTAAAATTAATCTTAATAGCATATTTTATTTAACCCAATATATCCAAAACCTTATAATTTCAATATGTAACCAATCCTACATATGTAATGTTAACAAATTACATTACATTCTTTTCTTTATTCTGTCTTTGAAATTGGGTGTGGATTTCACCTGCACAGTGCATCTCAGTGTAGACCCACCAGATTTCGAGTGTTCAACAGCCACACGTGGTGAGTGGCTGTTACCGGGCAGTGCATGTCCAGACCCTCCGCTACTCAAAGGGTGGTCCGTGGGCCAGCATCATCAGCGTCACCTTGGAGTTTGTTGGAAACGCAAGACCTCGGGCCCCACCCTAGATGTACGGAATGGGAACCTGAATTTTCACAAATTCCCTGGATTATCTGAATGCATATCATATTTGAGATGCACTGGCCTGGAATGCAGGCTTGCCCCCGTCTTGCCTCCAGTTCACCATGTACTAAGCTATACGGGGAGTCTGGAAACGCCAGCTTCTCAGATGTGATCATCAGAGAGGTAGACCGAAGACCCCAGAGGTGAGTTTTAAGTTAGCCGCTCACGTCCTTGGAAGATGCCGGCTGAGCTGAGACTTCTCAGTTGGTTCCCTCTGCAGATTACGAAGCCCTAGACAGGACCCAGATCCTGCACCCCCTCTAATCAAGCCCTCCCCAAACCACTGCTGACCCCGGCGGCTTCTGGAAGGACTCCGGCATTGACCACGCCACCAGAATGACCATCTCAAAGCTGGATGAGCGTGATCAAGGAAACTATAGGAGCTGATGTTGTGGGGAAAGCAAACTCCAGACTACGGAGTTGGAGCCTGATCTGTGTCCCTGGCTTTATCACTGACACCCCATGCGGATGCGGTTGAGTTTCCCCATGTCTCTGGGCCACAGTTTCTCCATATGTAAAAGAAGGAGGTTGGAGAAATCTAGAATGGCCAGGGAAGACACCCCATGCAGTGATTCTGAGTACCTGCTGGTGGCTACCAGGAGGGTGAGGGATGGCAAATGTGCTGTGACAGATTAGCCATGTCTGCCACGGGTTCAGGAATGGGACACAGACACCACACACATTCCTCATCTATGAAATACGTAATCCCCAGGACTTTTCTACTTTGACACTGAGAAGCAAAGATGACTTCTGTTCCTTTGAGGCTTCAATTTGTAGCGTCATTTCATTCTTTCTCTTCCTGAGGTAGGGGTTATGATGTGGAAGAGAAAATCGTAGCTCCAGGCAATAAACTGAGGGCCCAAAGTGACAAAGTGGGAAGGGACAGAGGTGGGAGTTGCCCTCAGATCTCTGGACCCCAAACAACCCAGCTACTCCACAAAGGAAAAGCCCTCCACACTCCCAGTGTCCTAGGTCCCCACAACCTTCACTCAGTGGATGACCTTGGGGGAAGCACATGTGGGACCATGTGGCCTCTTAGGGGCCTTCTGGTCCTGAGGGAGCTTCTGAGAAGTTCCATCATCGTTTGAATAAACTCCAACTCCTACCCTTGTCTGAAGGACCATGCAGACCTGGCCTCCGGCGACTCTTGGGACGTCATCTCCCTCCTGCTCGCCACGGCCGGGTCGCACCCACTTCCTTCCTGTTCTCCCAACCCCACGTGCTCACTCCCACCCGGAGGCTCTCATTTCTGATGTGGGGGCCTGGCTTCTACTCAAGTGGCCTTCTCTGACCCCCTCTTACCATCTAAAGCCCCCCCATCACTATCACTCACCCTGTTTTATTGTGTTTTCAACACTTAACGCCATCCAAAATGATGATCCTTTTAAAACACGTTTGCCTGCTTATTGTCCCCTCTCTAGAATGTAAGCCCTATGAGGTCATTTATTTTATTTGCCACTGTATTCTCATTCCATGATGAGGACAGGCTGCTGGCCTGGGGGGAGATTTCCTTAAAGCGAGGCCTCGTGGAGGGGTACATTGAATAGCTGACATGTGGGGCTTGGTGGGTTCAGAACATTACCTCGCCACATGATGCCCGGTCTCACTGGGGCATCAACTTTCATCAGGAAGAGATAGGCAATGAGGCAGCCATGGTAGCCAGAGGGACCAAGGCCCTATATGGCCGACTCCAGACCCCAGAGCAGACTCCCTGGACAGAAACCTGGTGGGGAAGCTGGTGGCTGGGGGAGGGAGGTGGGTGCATGGAAAGGAGAGGGTTGGCAGAGGAGTCGGGGAGGGAAGCAAAAAGGTGACAGGGCAGTGGAGAGAGATGCTAAGGAAGAACACCTACTCTGCAGACTTCCAGAAATGTCCGGGATGAGACAGGCGGCGGTTCCGCTTGGGCAGTTTCTCCAGCATGTCCATGAGCTTGGTGAAGGTGGGTCTTTCTTCTTGTTCAAAGGCCCAGCAGAAGAGAAGAATGTCCTAAAAGAAACCAACATGTAGTGAATTAACATAAATGGTGACTTCTTGATTACTCCTCAGCACCTCATTGGATCCGTCCATTTGTCTGCTCATTTGCCCCATTTCCACATTCCTCCATCATCCATCCATCCACCCATCCATCCATCCATCATGCACCTAGCCATCTCAATTCATGCATTTATCCTTCATCTATGATCCATCCATCCATCCTTCTATTCATTCATTTTCTCAGCAAAACTTAGGCCCTATTCTAGAAGGTCTGGGATACACTGAGATCAAATGCTCTCCCAGGAGTTTCTTGGCATTTTTCTCAAAAGGGAGGGAGAAAAGGGAATCCTGAAGTCTCTCTCCATATCCCAATACTATAAAAAGCTTTTCAAAGTCAAAGAGAGGAAAGTTACTTTTACCAATCTCCTCACCTGAGAAAGGAAACCTAGAGGCAAGTAATCCTTAAAAACATACCAGATAATTACCCCTTCCCTGACTCATCTGTCTTCTGATCACAAGAGAGGACTCTTCCTGCTGTGTCTTAGAGAATGATTATTAATTTATACTCAGGCTTTTCTGTTTCTGTATATCTTGTTCTGAGTTGGATAATGCCTTAAAATTTTTATGTAGATGCAAATAAAATTAGAATCATTAGTATGAGTGATATTTTAATGAATATCTATAAAAAAATAACAGAAAAACAGGGATTTGCTGATTCTGTTTGACTCAGCAATCCATTGCTAGGAAAACCTTGGCCAAGTGTTACAGCGCCCCTGATGGTAGGAACCTGAATTGCAGGCATAGTTTAGAGGTTTTGCTTGTTAAGCCCCAAATCAGTATCTGATAAGGTTGTGGGTGTGCTTTTCCATCATCCTCTGGGAAAGCATTTGTAACCTTAACACACAGGAAAAAGAAGGCCTAGAACTGCATCCGCCTCTCCCCTTGTCCCCAGACCCGGCACTCTCCCAGGACTTACCGAGATCTCTTTCCCCATGCCGATCTGGCTGAGGTTGGGTTTCATGCCTGTGCCCATTTGCCAGATTATTGCCTCTGCTGGTTGGGTCTTGAAAGGCCACTCCCTGGCGTGGAGTTCATACCAGATTGTGCTGTTGGCAGATGTTAAGGGGGTGCTGGTGTGACATGTCCCTCGTATCCCCTCACCAACATATACCCACCCAGCCAGCCGGCTGGCTAACCACCCCGCTCCCCAGTTTCTTCCCCCTGGGGCTGGTGTTCTGCTACTTGGGATGCACTGAAAGCTTCTCGATGTCTTAGAAATCATGCTTTTCCTGGGACCACTTCTCTGGTGCCTGAATTTAAATGAATCAAAGCCTAGAACCTGAATAGTTTAATACAATGTAGCTAGGATCTCTGACCCTATATTTGTACTTCTAGGAAACCATTGTAGGGGAATAATTAGGGATACAGACAAAAATTAATTTACAAGGATGTTCTCTATTATCAGAATAAACAACAACACATTGAGGTTTTACTCTGTGCTAGACGCTACTCTAAGCCCTTTGCATTGATTACGATTATGGGGACGTGTATTACGCATGCCTTTTTATTTTGATGCTCTGACATCTGGGGCCTTGCTGAGCCTGGAGTGACTGCCCCTCCCAGGGCCAGCGAATTCCTGAGACAGTAAGGATTCTCCTGGGAGTGTGCCTTTCATACGCAAACTAACCAGTCCAAATGCCCTCCCCACCTGCTCTATCAGGCTCACTCTCAGGGCCAGTATTCCCCTGCCCTACTCAGGACAGCCCCCACACCTCAGGGACCACCGACATTCATCACACCAGCCCATCCTAAGCCCGCTTACCCTGCCTCACCCGTTCCTTCCCGAGGAAACCACAATAAAGGCTCTTGCGCACATTCTCCTCCTGCTCCCTCTGCCTCCTGACCAACTCTGGTGACTCCCCATCTGGCCCTGCAAGGCACGACACACCCCCTCCTTTTGGGCACTATGAGTAACAAACTATCTTTTCAATGGCAATCATTTCCTGATCTGTGGGCCTCATCGCACCTGAATAATAATAAAACCTACATTTTAAAACAGGAGACACTGTTATTATCCCCATTTTACAAAGGAAGAAACTGAGGCTCAGGAAGGTCCTATATCCTACCCAGAGTCATATAGCAAATAACAGGTGCAGCCAGAGTTGAAGCCAGTTGATCTGACTACAGAATGGCGCCATAGGCCATTGTGCTATCCTGGGAAACCTACACTCCATCCTATTTGAGTCCTCTGTCATTGGGGCAGTGAGCAGTTTGGAAGAGCAGGGTGGCATTGACGGTTGGGGCCTGGTGAAGGAGGCACAGAGAGATGGCAGACACTACTCATGTGAAAGGGGGAAGGGAGCCTGTTAAGAGTGTGCCCTGTGCCGGGTACCTTACAGGTGTTTCTCACAGAATCCTTAGAACACCTCAGTGGGTTTTATTATCTTTGATTTAAGGTTGATGGAAGCAGGGCTTTGCGTGGTGAAATGACTCTCCGTCCCCTTGAGTCTCCGAGGTTTAAAGCTCCAACTCTGGAGTCCCAGTTTGACGGGCTGCTCCACCGCTAATTACCATAAGGCAAGTCACTGAGCCACTGGGAGCCTCAGTTTTGTCACCTGTCCATTGGGCACAACAACAGTACCTGCTTTGCAGGGCACTTGTGAAGATTCCAGGAGACAGCACCATAAAAAGCTTAACACGGTGCTCAATACACTTTTAAAAGTCCGTTTCCGTTCTCAGTCATGCCTGAGCATGATGTTCCCAGGCAACAAGATGCACCTAATTGGCAGGAAACCAGATCACCAGGTCCCTCGGAATTCAACAGTGTCAGGAATAAAAGCCTCATTAAAACTTCCTTTCAAACCCAATTTACAAGAGAAACTCACTTTAAGAAAAAAAAATTGCTAAAGATGAAAACTCCAGTGGAAAACCAATTACTTACTTTGGTACATTTTGTTAATTACATTTTTTCTTTTGCTAAATTTATACTAAAATATACCAACTTAATGATTGCGATTTGGTTTCAGATAACAATATCTAACTAGATAAAGATTTGGGCATAAACTAATTAGAGCAAATGACAGCCTCTAAAGGGGTCCAAGGGACAGACGTTGAGAATTCTGATGTGCCAGCAAACACCCGAGAGGACGCAGTGGGGGTACTTTTCCATAAGACGGTCTCTCTAACATCTCTCAGTGGCGCTAATTGCACACACATCTGCAGCCTGCAACTTTCCCAAACGGCTTCCCCAGCGTTTCCTCTGCCAGCCCTTGCTACCACCCCATGCACGAGGGAAGGTGAGGCTTAGCATGGCCATTTGAGGGCTGGAGCACAGATGCCTTCCTAGCTACACCTTCTCAGAGCACTCTGTCCCACATCTTGGGGCTACATCCTGGACCCTCTCCTACCTCTACACTTCAAAGACCTCTCATTCTCTCCCATGGCTGTCATTACCCTCTCTTTGCTGACAATCCTAAACTCCTGTGTAGATACGGCTGCCTTCTGGTTGGTTCCATTGGTCATCTCTAAGGTAGCTCCAATTCTGTGTCCAAATCTGTTCTCTTTGCCTTCCTGGCGTAATCCAGCCCTGCCTCACCTCCAGGGTCTCTACCTTGGTCAATAACACCACTCTCCCCCCGGTTATTTAAGGTAGACATCTGGGCGCCACCCACATTCAATACATCATGAGTCCCATCACTGCCACCCCTAAATGCTTCTTATGTCCACTCCAGCTTTCAGACCCACTGCACAGATTCAGTGGAAAACGCCAGCATCTCCCCCTGGATTGGTCACCCAGCCTCAATTTTGTCCTTTCCACTCCCGACACAGTAGAGTGATTGTTCTAAAACTCAGAATATGATTATGTCACTCCCCAGCTTAATAGCCATCAATGGCTCCCTAGTATTGTGAAGAGGAAGGGAAAACTCCTTAACTCAGCCTCTAAGTCCCTGCAGGATGCCTGCTTTCCTCTCTAGACTCTCATCTCACCACCCTCAGCCTTACTCTTTCCTGATTCTCCATCCCTCAGCTCCCTTTCCTCCCCCCACTCCCTATATGCTCCTCCATTGTGGGCAATTTGTTCTCTTTAACCTTTGTGCCTTTTCACGTGTTCCTTCTCTCTGGACACTTCACCTCACCCTCATCTGGCCTACTTATATTCAACCTTTAACCTAGGCTCAGGAGTCCCCTCCTCCAGGAAGCTGTCTCTGATCTCCCAAGCTGGATTTAGTCCCTCCTTTATTCCCACAGTCTTGTGTTTATCCTCAGCACAGCATTTATCATACTTTGCTAAAATGTGACTGTTTCCTTGTCTGTCTTCCACCAGACAAGACAGAATAGGGACCATTGGTGGTTTTAAAATATGTCCCTAAATTCTTTGATACTCCTTCCTGCAAAAAGTAGAGTTTAATTCCCCTCCCCTTGATTTAGTGACTTGCTTCTAGCAAACAGAATATGGTGGAAGTGACGATATATAATTTCTGGGACTTGGTCATAAAGGCAACGTGGCTTCTAGCTGCTGTATTGTGAGGTCACCCAAGCAGCCTATGGAAAGGCCCATGTGGTGAGGACATGGGAGTGGGCCACCTTGGAAGTGGATCCTCAGCCCGTCAGGCCTTCAGATGAGACCACAGCCCTGGCTGACATCTTGATTGCAACCTCATGAGTGACCCTGAGCCAGCTCAGAACGACTCAGCTAGGCCACTCCCAAATTCCTGGCCACAGAAACTTGAGATAATAAATGTTTTAAGCCATTAAGGTTTTTTCATAATTTGTTAATAGTAGGCATCCAGTAACTAGCTATTGCATGAATGAATGAGTGAATGAGTCAGGTAACTGACCATGGTCACATAACCAGTTAGAAACCAGGCATGAAGGTTTGCCAAGGGCACGCTTTCTGCTACACCCCACTCAGATCCCCCCAACCTCCCCCAGAAATCCAGCCATCCTTGCCCCCGCAGACAAAAGGTGCCCTGCCCCTTCCAAAAGCACTGAAGAAATGCTTGGGAAGTGCCCTTCTGCCTGGGCTGGGGCTCTCCAAGGCCAGGGTGGGCCACCTACCCCAGCGCAAAGACGTCCGAGTGCTTGGAGAAGGGGAGCTTGTCCTCCTCCGTGTCGGGAGACAGCTGGCGAATGATCTCAGGCGCCAGGTGGCACAGCCAGCCATTCTGGATGCGCAGTTTGTCCTCACGTCTGGAGAAGCAAAGCACAGAGTGAGCTCCCTTTCAAGCCCAGGATCCGTCCCCCAGCATCGACCCCAAGTCCCCAGACCATCTCTGCTGACTTTCTTGCATCCCCCCCATTGGGCACTGCCTGACTTTGAACTTGAAGCCAAGACCCAGTGGGAGGTGCAGGGAAGGCTGGTCTGGAGAGGGACACTCAACACTCATACCATCTTTGGATCCCTTCACCTCTGAGGCCCCCTCTTCCCCATTGTCACTCCACAAATACAGCTGATTCTTGTTATTCGTGGTAGTTTTGTTCTATAAATTCTCTGCAGACACTGAATTAGCAAATATTGAATCATTGCTCCTAGAGGAAATATGTATACACTCACATGCAGACATCTCACACAGATTATAATCTTAAATCCTAAAAACAACTCATCCTAGCCTATTCTATTTCCTTGATGTTACACAAAAGAAAATGAGGCTCAGAAGCGTTAAGTGACTGCCTGAGGCTGCCCCACTACCATGTGGCAGAGTTGTAAACCCCATCCAACTGGCCGCAGAGCCCAGCCTCCTGCACTGCCCCGCCCCCTCCGGTCTCCATCCCTGGTCATCTCCGTGGGAGAGATGAAACAAGAAAGCAGAGAGAGCATCCTCTCGTTCGACCTCAGCGGGGAACATGCACGTCAGGCGGCTCAAATTTCCACCACCTGTACATGCCCACGAGTGACTGCAAATGTGCCATGAGTATTGATCTGGGGGTTTCAAAGACATTTTAGTGAGTAGGCGAATTCGCAAATATGGAATCTGCGAACTACGAGGATTGACTGTATTTATGGTGCACCTACGATGCCTCGGCTCTGTTCTCAGCACGGGGAATACAGCAGTGAACGGGACCTACATGGTTCCTGCCCTTCTGGAGCCAGAGCTTTGGCGGGAGAAGGTGATGACGAATTAAATAAATAGGAAACATACGATAGTGATGTGTTATAAAAAATTTAAATAGGGGAACATGTCAAAGATAAGAGGAGTTTACTTTAGGTAAAATGTGAGCTAAGATCTATGTGACATAAGGGATCCAGCTATATGAACAAGGAGAAAAATACAGCCATGCACCGCATATCCATGTTTTGGTCAACGATGGTCAATGACAAAATCACCTAATGATGCATTTCTCAGAATGTATCCCTGTTGTTAAGCGGCGCATGACTGTATTCTAGGCAGAAGGGAAAGTTAGGACAAAGGCCCAAGGCAGGCCCTGTTTGGGGTGTTCTAGAAACCTAAGGAACACCAGTGTAATTGGCACACATCATGCCATTCTTTGTAACTATTAAAATGCATATAACCAACCCTTTGTTGATGGGCCTCAGGCACTTCCCCCTTTCACCACTATAAACAATGTTGTGATGAACATCTTCAGGATAGGTACTGTGAATATACCCCTTCACCCACATCTATGATTATTCCTTAGGATACATCCCTAGAAGAGGAAGGATGCTGGCTCTCTTCTTCATGCTGTAAGTCTTCAGCAAGTACAGAGCTTTCCATTTGGGTCTGAAATCTGAGCCGACCTCCTAGGAGGTTTCCATGGATTCAAGCCTCCCAGAAAATGGCCAGTCAACACAGGGAGAGTGGGAAGGAGTGGGAGATGGGGATGGCTCTCTTGAACTACCAAGAGCGAGATGCTGAGGGACCAGAGCTTCAGCATGTGGGACCCGCTGGGGACCTGGGGCTGGCTGGCTGGTACAATCCTTCCAGGGCAGGCTTCTGGGCTACACAAGGTGTGATGCTCTGCTCCCTTAACTGCACTCGTTCATGTCCTATAATCAGGATTCCTGCCCTAGCTGAACACCTTCTAGAGCAGTGTTATCCAATAGAACTTTCCATGATGATGGAAATGTTCTATCTGTGCTGTCCAATATGGCAGCCACTAGCCACTGTTGGTATTGAGCACTTGAAATCCAGCTAGTGCAACTGAAGAATATTTTTAATTTTATTTAATTTTGATTCAAGTTACAATGAGATAGCCACATGTGGCTAGTGGCTACCATATTGGACAGTGCTGTTCAGACTGTCATTTACTACAAATGGATTTTTTCACTAATATGTATATTTTAAACATGACCATAAATGGAAACAAGCACTTTAGTACACATTAAAATTAAGATGAAAAATGTTTGTTCACATCCACCCTGAAGCCATCTCTCAGATCATACTCGCGGGGAGCAGAGAACCTGACGAGAGATGCCCCAGGAGTTTGGAGCTCTGGCTTTTGGTCTGGACCATTCTTTGTGGTGGGGGTGTCCTGTGCAGTGTAGGGTGATTAGCAGCATCCCTGGCCCCTACCCATTAGATGCCAGTAGCACCTCCTCCCCTGTTGTGACACCTAAAAATATATCCAGACATCAGAAATGTCCCTGGGGGGCAAGACAGCCCTGACTGAGAGTCACTGTTCTAATTTACACATAAAATAAGGAAATGGTCCAAATTTCAGTGTGTCAGCATTAGTAACACGGCTTGCTCCTGTGCTCTGCACAGCGGACCTGATAGAACACATCCTCTGCCAGAAAGCAGGAACTCAAATCCATTAGCAAGCCCTTGAGTTGGCAGGGTCCAAAGAGTTCTTGCTTCTAGAATCAGGGACACCTGCAGGGGTTTAAGGACTCATCTGTTGCTTACTAGCTGTGTGATCTTGAGCAGACCTGGGACTCCATTTTCCCATCTGCAAAATGGGCTGGGACAAAGATGAAAGAAGACGGTGCATGGTGCAGGGCTGTGTCAGCTGCCAGGGCCACACTACGGGTGGACAGAATTATTATGTATGGATATTTTTTTATCCTGAGGACTCAGAAATGGAGTTGAGACTAGAGCCCAAAGTAAGAATGTCATCCAAGAAAGGGGGGTTGTGGCCTGGCCAGCCGACATTCTCCTGGCGTGCCCAGGCCAGGTGCAGTGGGGGTGGGGTGGGATGTTCCTGCCTAAAGGGCAAGGCTCCCAGCTCCCATCTTTTTCCGCCGCCCCTGCCACCTCCTCCTGACTGGCGGGGTCAGTGGGGGTTTGGAATTGCAGGGCAGGGCCCGGAGGAGGAGTGGTGGCTACTCCACAACCATCACCCTGGGGCAGGCGTGGGCACAGGCCTGGGAAGGGCCCAGGAATCAGACCTGGCACAGACACCCTGGGGTGCCTCGTTCCCATGGCGATAGGCCCACCAGTGACTAACCCAAATCATCCTCATTATAGTTATTATTATGATTAATAACAGCCTGCGGGAGCTGGCATGATAGTGCTGGCATCTCAAAGGACACCTTTTCTTAACGATGGCAGAACAGCTGTCTGCTGGCAATGCTGAGGATGGGCTCAGGGAAGCCCTGGGATCTGTCTGGACATTCGGGACATGCTCACTTCACTGGGCAACCCCCACCCTGCCCCAGCCTGGCAGATCTCCCCGTCCTGGGTACCCAGCACTGCCAACACCCCAAGCTTTATCTGAGGGGAGGGCAGGAAGGCAAGTAACTCCTGCTGCGTGCCTACTGTATGCCAGGTTGTTCATCACACTTAATCCTCGTAAACCTGCAATCAGATGGATATCACTCCTGTTCTAGAGATGAGGAGAGAGCCTCAACACGTGTAAGTGACCTGCCCAAAGCCACAGAAGTAATAAGTGACAAAGCTAAGATCTGTCGGATCACAAGTCTTTAAAACTCCAGAGACTAGCCTCCTAACCACCATTCTTTACTAATTCCTAGAGAAATAGCACCATTGGGGAGCAAAGCTCTAAACTAAGCCCTGTACATCAAAGCACAGGAAGCCACTGACGGCTACTCGTGGTAACGGAGAAATGTGGATTTCTGGTTGGGAGCTGTCGCTGAGGGCTCCCTGACCTCTCATGACACCAGCTGGGTTTGTGTTGACAACCACGCTGGGGCAGGGGTGGGGCTGGGGTGCTGTCTGAGCAACAAGGCCAGAAGCCACCTTGCCCTTGACTTGAACTCCCTTCCTGGTGGACACTGGGCCTCCACGAATGAGCTGAAGGAAAGGATGCCCACGTCATTCCATTTCCTTTTTCTTTCCTCTCCCTGTGGCTTCAGAAAACCATGAATCAGAAGGAAGAAAATGAGAGGTGCCGTCCCCCTTTCCTCCACTTGGGGGACAGTCCCCTGCAAGGAGAAAGAGAGGGTATGGACATGCCACCAGGAGAGAGAAATCTGATATTTGTATTTTTTTTTGGTGAGGAAGATCGTCCCTGAGCTAACATCTGTGCCCGTCTTTCTCTATTTTGTATGTGGGATGCTGCCACAGCATGGCTTGATAAGCGGTGTGTAGTTCGTGCCCGGGATCTGACCCGCAAATCCCAAGCCGCCAAGCGGAGCCTGCGAACCCAACCACTACACCACCGGGCTGGCCTCTGAAATCTGATTTTTTTAAAGAGCCTTGCACCAGGTTAAAGAAAACACTCGCTGGGCCTCTTTTTGCCTTGACACAGACAGTGATGTCACCAACCAAGAGCCTACTCTGCCCTCAGCCTGGGGCGGTGGAAACGGGACTGAGCGGTTCCCCTAGAGCAAACCTGAACATCAGTGCTGCTGGGAGATGGAGGCAAGAGAGAATCCTGCACCATCCAGCCGTCCTGCTTCCTGGGTTCTGACTTGAGGGGCTCTCTCCATCTATCTATCCACCCATTGATCTAGTTCTTTATTTACTGCCTCCTATTTTCTCATCTTAGGTACTGTAGACAGTTTTGGAGACCGAATCTTTTTGGATGGAGTAAAATCTGAAAAAGATACATCAGCTTGCTTGTTACTGTGTCTTACAGAAACAGCTAGGTCAAGTTTCACCAAATTTTGGATGGTCTGACTTAGATTCAAGGTATTATAGAGCGTGAACAAAATTCACTTTGGGGGGACCCTGGGGTGTACCTTAAAGAGACCAGTGGTTCTCCAAAGCAGCTGAAACCGAAGTCAAATGAGAGAAACCGTGGCGTTGCCTTTCTAGAGAGACACACCGTTCACTATAAGAGGCATGATTAGAGGAAACATGCAGGGTTTAAAGTTTGAGTGTGTGCATGTGTGTGTGTGCCTGCGCGCACGCTCCACATACACATTCCAAATTAAAAGTCACAAAGTGTAGACTTTCTGAATTATGGCTTGTTTGTTTGGGATCAGGCTGTTTTTCACGTGGTGAAGTCAAGGCGGCTTGCTCTAGGGTGAGTGGCGGCTGAGAGTTAATTACTTAATGATGGTTAATGATTCTCTCGGGTGATACTGGGGAGGTATATGCAAATTAATACTAATTACAACAACTCAGCAGCAGCTACCATTTCCAGCGTTTCCTGTGCTCCAGGCATTGGGCTGGATGTTTGAAGTGTGTTATTTTATTTTATCCTCACAAGGATCCTACCATCCTTGGGCATCGTCATACCCATCATTTGTCTTGTAGACGAGGAAACTTAAGTTCGAAGAAGTTCCACGACTTGAGTAAAGTCACAGTTAATAAGTGACAGAGCCAAGTGGGACCCCCGGGTGGGTCTGACTTTAAATCTCTTGCTCTTAACTACACTCTTGCTGTACTAAAATTAATAAATTCATAATAAAACTTTGAGCAAGGTGATCTTGGGTGATCCCAACTTCTAGGCACGTACTTGGGGTAAGGGAAGAGTCCTCCAGTGAAATTCAAGGGGAAGGGCTTTGCAGGATTTGGGGATGCTCTGTGTCTGTTCAAAGGCACCATTTGCAAGACAAGCCCCTTTGTCTTGCAATGACCTGGGCATCAGCATTGCATGGTCAACATAGCAGCCTAGCCACTCAGCTAAGTGACCTCAAGCACAACAAGGAGTCCAGGTCACTAAAGCCATTTGGGTGACTTCTCACCCCTTGACTGTCATCTATCAAGACACCTCCAGGTCCTTCCACCACTTCTCACCTGCCAGCCTGCAGCACCCCGGAAATGCTGAAGAGCCCAAAGTCTGTGATCACCACTTTGCCGTTGTCATAGAAGACGTTCTTCGACTTGAGGTCCTTGTGAAGGATTCCCTTGGCGTGGAGGTAGCCCATGCCCTGTGTGGGAGATCAAGATTTGGCCACTCTGAAATCTATCTTTTTACCTTGATTGTTTTCTCTGAGGGACATTTGACCTCCCCCACTAACTGCCTAAAGAATTTGACATGGTGGCTCCTTCCTGGAACAGATCTTCATGATGGCTGTAAAGATAATGTAGGATAAATGTTACAATAGGAAAGGCACCAACAAGCCCATCTTATTAGAAGTTCTGTCTCTCTGGCCACATTCTCTAGATGGCCCTGCGAGGAGCTGCCAGACAATCATTTACAAGGGAAATCTCCATTTGTAAAGGTATCTCCCTCTCTGTATTTGGGAAGAGGGGGGATGATCTCATTCCTAAAAACTTATCAATGTGAAAAGTGAGGCCTTAAATCTGCATAATAACCTTACTCTTGTTTACTGTGCTTTAGTGGTAATCTCCTGTAACTGACTCCCCCTACCCGCAACATCCTCCTTTGTCGTTGGCTGAACATGGTATTTAAGATGAGAATTTCTGCTATTGTGTTGAGAAACGCAGTGTCCCTGCTTTCTCCCATGTATATGTTATTAAACTTGGTATTATTTTCTCTGCTAACCTGTCTTGTTAATTATTTGGCCAGCCAGAAGAACCTTAAGGAAAAGGGCAGAGGGAGATTCTCCCTCTTCCCCGACACCTGCAAAAAGCAAGGAAACAGGGAGTTGCCAGAGAAAACTTGAGTGCTCGCTGCCCTCCTGGCTTGGGTTCACGGTTCTCACTCCTTCCCTTTCCAATGAGACCCCACTGAACAGTTGCAGAGCTGGGGCCCAGGCCCCAAGGCTTGCAGGTGGGATGAGAGAAAGCTTGGCAAGTGGGAACAAGCAGGGTCCCCAAGACACAAATCTGCCACCACCCTCAGACTACTGCAAAACTATCTCCATCCAGCTCTTCTGTTTCCTGAAGAAGAAACAATGGAAGACGTCTCTAGGGGGAAAAGGGAAGGGACAAACCTGACAAGAGGTCCCCAGAGAAAGGAATTCCATCAACCATCTTCCCCCACTCTTCCTCTTTGAAAAGTAACTCCTTTGCAGGAGATTGTTCCTTATATCTACCTAACCCATGCCACCGCAGAACGCACTGTGTTCTTCCAGAGACGTATCACAACCCGATAATCAAGAATGTGGAGAAGAGTCTATTGGAGGTCTGGCTTCAGGGTGAATGTCTAGATTTTTTTTTTGCCTTTATGAGCAGTCACATTTTTATTTCTTCTTGTAGCTCAGTCCTGACACTTCCAATGGGAAATAAAAGCCCAAGTACAACTGACTAATGAGGCACCCACCAGAAAACGCAGGATGTTCTTGTTTGTTTTAATCCCAAACACCACCCAACAATTTGATGTTTCCCCAGCAGCTGTGGAGAGAGATGGCTTGCATGCATGGGGATTCAAGGGGTAAGGGATTCTAACAACGAGAACTTCCCCCTGGTCCCTGTATGCATCCAATTATCATGATGATGAGGCACCAGATGGAAACCAAACCTTAGTAGACCATCCTCAATGGTTGTATTTTGGCAAAATTCTTACATACACACAGCCTGGTATTTTTCAGGTCAAGTCTGATTTCTCTTAAGCCCAGACTGTTGGTCTGAAGCCAGACTATGAGTCTCAGGAGGGAGCTGGGTCTTTCTGAGGTTCAGGGAGGAGGTCCCACACCCCACGGTACCTTCACAATTTCTTGGGCAATCTGCCTTGTTTTGTTGACATCCAAGACGATCTTGGCATCCCTCACTACAGAATAGAGCGTCCGTCCCTTGCAAAGGCTGAAAAGCAAAAAGACACGATAAATTGTTGGCAGTTGTTAAGAAGAGGGCGACAGTTATTAGAAGTGTCACATAATAGAGTGGACACGTGGACATGCCACTATTACTCCTATGAGATAATAAGCCTGCGGCTGGACCTCAGATCTGGTTCTGGGATGCAGGTCCGGGAGTGAGTGCTTTGGGGTCTTCAGCAACATCTTCAGCATCTTCATCAACATCCCGCAGCCTCCCAAGATACCCACAGAATCTAACCTCGTCCAGAGGCAGGTCTGTCACGTTCCCTCTATTCCAGGGTCTCACAGATGGAAAGCTGTGCATAAACCAACAACTCCAGGGCTCCTCAGACACCACTCAGTCAGCACTCTGCCCGCCACTCCTGCCAGCTGCTCCCACTCGCCAGGAGCTGCTGGCGTGTGGGGACAGGGATGAAAGACCAGCAGAGCAGTGGCTGATGTGTACTAAGTACCATCAGCAAATGATGCATTCAAGCCTTTAGACAGGCGTGTGTAAACACCAATAATACTCCCCCAAAACCAGACACCTGTCTAGATAGAGGGATTTCAAACTAGTTGCAGCCTCATTGAGTTCATTTCGAGGACCAATGGCTTAAGATGAATGACAAGATAAAGAAGGACATTATGCAGTGACAGTAACACCTCCTCATTTAGTTGCCTGCATGCCCATCTGTCCTTTGCATCTGAAGTAAGCCCAATTCTTGGCGCACACAGAGCAGACGCTCAATAAACAGTCACCGAATGAACGAGTGAATGAATGAGTGAGTGAATGAATGAATGAATTCTAAGTTCACCATAGCATTCCCAGCCCCTAGCACCATGTCTGGATCATAGTATCCAGTGTTGGCTCAAGAAGAAGGAATGACATTAGGAAAGTTCATTTTCCATCTACATCAAAATAATGGCTTGAATTTTTCTTTTAATCTATGACTTTATTGCTAAAATACTCTAGGCCTTTTATTCATCCCTGTAGTGTTTATGGAGCCCTTGTTGGGGGGTAGACTTGGCTGAGATCCTGTGGTTGAAGCTAGAACTCTGGTATCAGAGGGCTCTCAGTTTGAATCCCAGCTCTGTTCCTTACTTACTATGTGTCTTTGGGTGGGTTACTTAACCTCTCTGGGCCTTGGTTTCCTCATCTACCAGATGGAACTAACAATATCGACCTTGTAGAGTTAGTATGAGGACTGAATGAGAGAAGGAGCTCGGTACCATGCCTGGCACCAGTGGGAAGTGTGCACAATGGTCAGGAGAACAGAGGCCTACAGTCAGACTCTGTGGGGTAGAATCCTGGTTTGTCAGTTAGTGGCTGTGTGACCCTGGGCAGGCGAGTTAACCTCTCTGAGCCATAGTTTCATTGTCTGTAAAATGAGGCCAACAGTTCCTGCTTTCCAGGGTTATTAGGAGAATCCCATGAAATCAGGTGTGTAAAGGTGCAGGCATCTCTCCATGGCTAACACAGAGTAAGAACTCACGAAATGCTGGCTATTATGAGAGGTAGTAAATGATCAATAAAATGGTAAACATACACACATTTGTGCAAATATATATAAATCATACATTTATACACAGATCACTTCTATTATCCATCCATCCACCCACCCACCCAAAATGCTACCTGTAACTGCCCATGATCTTTGACTAAGATTCATTCCTTCACCTCCTGAAGGTGAGATTCCCAGGGCAGCTGACTCACAGGCAGTCTGATTCACCTGTCCAAGGTCGCCCATAAGTTGGCAGGTGGCAGCCACGATGACTCAAGGCTGTCCCGGCCTCGCTGCCCCAGGCAGTGTGTTTGCTGTGGCTGCTGGAGGCGAGGTGGGGGTGGGGTGGCCTGTGCAGCCAATTAAACCATATTGACATTTAAATATTCGGGATGGCGGAGACCGTGGGTGGCTTCCCTCCCCTGGATACTCCGTTCTTGAACAGCCACCTACGCTCATCACAGGTCAGAGCCTAGGAAATACCATCCCCACTGCAGACGGCAGAGCAAACAATCGCTACAGGCTCCCAGACTCCGAGTCTTCTGCTCAGGGTAACCGCACACAAGACGCAGGTTTCAAATGTCCATGCCTGCCATCTTCTTTCCCTGCTTACGTCCTCCTTTCCAGCAGCAGCTGCTGAAGTCTTTGTTTCCCTTACTACTCTATGGCCTCTGGAGCCACCGGACAAACTAACACTGACTGGGATATAAACGGGTATAACCATAGCTTGGCACATCTACTAAACATACAAATATACAAATAACCCACGACTAGCAATTCCTCCCCTAACTATGTACCCAGCGGGCATGCATACTCCTGGTCACCCAGACGTTTACTAGAATGTACTAGAATGTTCTAGAATGTTAATAGCAACCCATTCATAATAGCCCCAAACTAAAAATAACCCAAGTATTCATCAACAGAAAAATGGATAAATGTGATATATCCATATAAGAAAATATATTCACACTGTACTCTATAATAATAAACTATTGCTAACTACAAAGAACATGGATGAAGTTGATAAACATAACGTTGAGCAAAAGAAACCAGACACACAAGACACACTGAATGATTCCATTTCTGTGAAGTGCAAAGGCAGACAAAACTAATCCATGTGCTAGAAGTCAGCACAGTGGTGACGCTTGGGGGGGTGGGGAGGCTGGAAAGGTCTTGAGAGGAGCTGGGGGCACGTGATGGTCCATGTTTTGATTTGGGTGCTGGTTACATAGGTATACGTTTAGTGGAAATTCATCAGGCTGTGCTCTTAGGATCTGGACACTTTGGTAAGTATGTTATTCTTCCAAAAAAAGGTTTTCTTTAAAAAAAAACCAGCAAGGAAAAGATGAACAATTAATACATGGTGTTGAAATTTAAAAGAAAATCTAAACCAACACTGACCCCCAGGTATCCATTTCTAAACTCTTCACGCAGTCCTAACAGGCAGCGTCTGCGGAGGAATTAGGGGCTCCGGGCCGGCCTGTGCCTGCCCAGGTGTCTATCGGGGGCAGACAGCAGCGCAGGGCGAGGGCTGAGCTCTAAGCAGGGGCAGGCATTAGGCAGCTGTCCAGGGTGGCTGTGGCTCCGAGAGTCCAGGCTAGTCAGTCCAAGTGTCCATGGCAACCACTCTGAGCTTGGAATTTCTGTGGCTAACACTGTGCCCTAAAAGCCGCTTGCAGGGTGGGCAGTGGGAGGGAAGCGAGGGGAGGAGAGGATGAAGGTTTACTGAGCACGTGCGTGGGACCTAAGTCACCTCCACGAATCTCCCCAGCAACCCCCCAAGGCCCACATTATCATTCCCAACTCACAGGTGAGGATATGGAGACCCAGAGGGGCTAAGGACCTGCTCACAGACACACAGCCATGACGTCAGCTTGTTCCTGATCTTTCTCTCATCTTCTCCCCCACAGTGTGGGTGCCCAGGTATTGGACATGATTTTTGGGCCATTAAAGAGACACGCAGCCAAGTGAGCCCACATCCCTACTCTATCATTTACTATTTGTTGAGTAACCTCAGGAAGTGACTTTGACCTCAGTTTCCTCATCTATAAAATGGTAACAATACCAGCTAATGTACCGAGGACTTTCTATGTTCCAGGCACCAGCCTAAGCACAAGAGCCCCACGAGCTGGGTATTCTTGCTGTATTTCATTGATTCTAAGATGCAAATGTTTGAACATCTCTGAAATCAGAACGCATCTTGCATTCATCGACAGGTCAGTTTCATGGGCACTGCATTTCTTTCTCTGTAATACATAATATAAACGGAGCATATTCTAACGGATGGCGTCTTAGATTTACCGAAGTTTGTGATCAGCCCCATTTTACAGATGAGGAAACTGAGGCTCAGAGAGGCTAAGCGGAGCTGGGATTTGAACCCAGGCCTGGCTCCAGAGAATATGCTCTTAACGCCCATCTTTTGCTTCTTAACAACTTCCTCTGAGACTCCACATGTCACAGGCCCTCAGTAAATGGTAGCTGTAATGTCGCTACTAACATCCCCTGTGGCGATGAGGATTAACGAGGCCTGTTGGCCTCAAAACAGAGTCAGTCTGGAGGTCAAGAGAAGGTGTTTTAGTGGTTCAAGGAGATATTTAGTACCTCTCTAGTTCTGGGGCAGACACACACACACACACACACACACATATACACACCCACCCTCCGCTCTTGGTGTCTCTCTCTGCAACAAAGATCATATTTCTCCAAGAAGAGGAGCAAGGATGGGGAATTTCCCATCCTATCCACAGGCCACCATCTCTCCTAGCCCTGGCCCCAGGCAGCTCACATAAGGCTGACCTTTGACCCCATATCCCAGGTGACACAGTGAGCCTTTTGGCCAAGATGGCACTGCAGGTGTAAGAAGTTTGTTGTACACCAGCCTAAAAGAGCTTGTCAGAAACAATGAAATAAAACCATCTAGAAGGTTTATCTCCGAGGGCCTCTGTCCAAACTGTCTCATTCCGGCAAAACAGTCATGGGACAGAAGTCTGGACACCTGTGGCAGCCACTTCCTTTCTCTCCTCCAAACCCATCACCACCAAGCCCAGGGACCCAGGCTAGTGTGAAGGGGGGGAGTTGGGGGGAGGGTGGCTGGGGCAACCACCTCTGAGCCCACATGGCCTTGGGGACTCACTGTGCCTCACTGGGGCACAGCATCTGCATCTGTAACCGTGGGTGTGATGGGCTGAATAATGGTCCCCTTAAGACGTTCACGTCCTAATACTCAGAAACAGTGACTATTCACCATACATGGAAAAAGGACTTTGCAGATGTGATTGAATTATGGCTCTTGAGGTGGGAGATTATCTGGGCCATCTGGGGGGGCCCAGTGTAATCACAAGTCTCCTTAAAAGTGAAGCGGGGGCAAGAGAGAGAGGCGGAGGGAGATCCGAGTACAGAGGAGGAAGCAGAGTGATGGGACGTGAGGACTCAACCAGTCACTGCTGGCTTTGAAGATGCAGCAAGGGGCCACGAGCCGAGGAACGCAGGCAGCTTCTAGAAGCTG